CCCTGCACGAGGCCTGCGCAGCGGCCAGCGCCGACTGCGTGCGCCTGCTGCTCAGCTTTGGTGCTGACCCTGAGGCTGTCTCTGAGGATGGCTACAAGCCCCTGCATCTCTGCAAGAGCCCGGACTCCATCGAGTGAGTTCCACCCAGGGGACACGGTGGGCCTCCCTCCCCCTCGAGCCTCATCCTGTGTAGAAGGGGTCCCTGCTCCTCCCTGCAGGTGGGCTGGTGGCTGCTGCAGGGGCTGCTGAGTGGGGTGGCCTTGCTGCCCCTTCCTGGACCAGGATCACCTCTGAAGTCCAACAGATGGCTGCAAGCTCTAGTCCTCAGCTGATGCAGCTGAGCTAGACGCTGCTGTCTTGCTGCCCGCCAGCAATGCAGAGCTGATGGTTCACACTGCGGAGCTCAGGACGTGCGCCGTGCAGACAGGCCTCCGAGGGTCTGCGGGAGCAGACGCTGGGTGTGACAGCACTTTGTTAAAGATCCGTGGGGAGTTAGCTAGGATTAGGATGACAGAATCTCTGCTCGCCAGGCATGCTGGCTTAAAACCACTGTTCCAGTGCATGAGGAGCAGGGATTTTTGGGCTCGGGGAGAAGTGAAAGCCGTGGGACGGTACAGTCATGGGGGGCGTGGGAGGTAGGACAGGAGCTGGAGGGGAGGGCCTGTCACTGAGTCGTCTTGGCCCACACAGGTGTGCCCAGCAGCTGCTGCAGCATGGTGCCAGCGTGAACAGTCGGACAGAGGACGAAGACGACACAGCACTGCATGTAGCAGCACGGCATGGCCTAACAGACCACGTCCAGCTGCTTCTGCGCTATGGGGCAGAGCTGGAGGCAAAGAATGAGGAGGGGCAGACGCCACTGAATGCTGCCTGTGCTCAGCCCCATCAGCCCCAGGACATGGACCGCTACTACCGGGTCTGCCAGCTGCTGGTGGAGCGCGGTGCTAGCATCAATGCTGCGGACAGGGACCGTCAGCACCCACTGCACCTGGCCTGCAAGAATGCCAATGCTCAAGTAGCAGAGTTACTGCTGGCCCGGGGTGCAAATGTCAACGTTATGAACTACAGCGGCAACACGGCGCTGCACAATATCCTGCAAGCAACTGCCTACAAGCTAGAGCACCATCCCGAGCTCGTGGTGCGAGCCCTGCTCAACTACGGGGCCATCCGCATCTGGCCTGGCTCCCTCCTCAAGGTGCGGGGCTCATGGCTGTGCCGGGAGCAGGGTGGGAAGCGAAGGCTGCGGACGTCAGGGCCCCAGTGAGAGCAAGGATGTTTCTGTCACAGCAGGGCTTGCTCTGTGCCAGCCTGCTTGCTGTCCTGCCTCTCGTGTCCCAGGGCCTGGGCGAGGGGGAATTGGCATTACCCCTAAGGGATTCCCTGAAGTTTTCTCCTGGGGCACGTTCTCCTGTAGGACTCTCCTGCTTCTGTCTGCGAAGCTGTGTGGGCAGCACTTACCCAGTTTCCATCATCGCTTGCCCTGGAAAGCGTTGGCCCTTTTCCTCTCGGGGGATGTGTCTCCTCTTTGGGGCACACCCTCCAGCTCATGCTGTCTCTGCAAGGCACCAGCAAACAAAGGGTTAATTTCCTGTCTTAATTCCTGAGCAGTGCAATAATTACCCAGCCCGGAGATCAGCAGATTGCTCTCCCCTTTGGGAAAATACAGGAAAATCAACAATTAACACTAATTAATCTCCTATTAACGCCAGATAATGAGGATCACTCGTACAGCCGGAATAGACTCTGACAGCTACTGCTGGCCTGGGCCATAGGGAGTGGGAGCCAAGAGCCGGGGGGCATCTGCCTCTGTGCAGCTTCACATGGGTAGGGTGTGCTCCCAAGGCCACGCTGGTGGTGTGGGATACGTAGCACCAGTGTGCCACTTGCCCCTACGTGGACATGGTGCACACCAGAGACGTGTTGCACAAAATCTGTGTGATGTCCTCCTGGGGCTCTGCGCAGCAGCTGACGTGGGCACAGTACTTCTTGGGTCACCCACCGCACACAGCACAGATGTCTCTGCAGCCCGATGCCCGACAGGCACAAGGCGTCCCTGGGAACCCTGCACAGCCCTCAGCTGTGGCGTGGTATGCCACAAAACGGGTGTCAGTCCTTCCCCCAGAACGGCTCATGCTCTGACGAGAACAAGGTGGGGAAAGGAGCCCGGCATAAAGCAGAGGGTTGGTTGCTTACGAGCTACTTGCAGCAGTGAGGCAGGTGAAGATCTGCATCCCAGGCACGTATGTTAGTCCCTGCATCTGAGGGGAGGCTGTGGGCACCCAGTTGCGCTGAATGCAACCGTGCTGGGCGCGTTGGGTGTCGGCTCAGTCACACTCTTTGCGGGAATGGTGCTCTGGCATTTCCCACTGTCGGTGGGTTTGATCTGGGACAGCGTGAGGGAAGGACGTTAGTTCCCTAGGTTTACCAAGGCTGGTTTTGAGCAGCTTTTTAGGTGGGGCTTGCAGGACCTTGCCCCACGGCGGTGTTCATCTGCTCTCTGCCTGGCGCAGGTGCTGCGGTACTGCCATACCTGCCCGCGCGCCATCGAGGCCCTGATGAACAGCTACGATCGCGTGCGCGTCTCTGAGGACTGGGTGGAAGCGGTTCCAGCGGAGGTCATACAGGTGAGGGAACGCACGCTGCTGGCTGGAGAACGTGCAGCCGGGCTACGGTGCCAGGGGAGGCTTCGGGCTGAGGGGGGTTTCGGGCAGGGCTGGGGCTGCGTGGAGATTTGTGGGGCACAGGGGAGGTGCTGCTGGGGGACAGGGAGGATGCACAGTAGCGGCGAAGGTAAAGGGATGTCTGGTCCTCCTCTGCTCCCAGGGTGATATCTTCAGCTTTACCTGTCTCTGGTCCTCTCTTCTCTCTCTGTAGAAATACCCACGTTTCTACCAGTCACTTTTCTCCCTGGCGCAAAGACCTCGCTCCTTGCAGCACCTGGCCCGCTGCACGCTCAGGACCTTCCTGGAGGGCCGGTTGCTCCAGGTCCTGTCTCAGCTGCACCTGCCGAGTGCCTTGCACCGTTTCCTGCTGCTCAGCTTTGAGGACGTTCTCTACTAAGGGCTGTGGTTCCAGTCCTCCTGTGCCTTTCTGTGCAGATGTTCCATCCCTGCCAGTCTGTGCCTTCCCAGCTAACCCCTTCCCCTCGCACACCTCCTGCCAGGCCACGTCAGCCCCCCTGCCAAACCTGTCGCTGTGTCCCTGTCCCAGCCAGCCCTGTGCTCTGCCCCATGCACCTATTTTGGAGCATTCTGTTTACCCGTGCTAATCAGGACAAACTCCAGACTTGCTAAGAAAAGCAAGATACGGGGATTAGGGCATTTTGTGGGACAAGGAGCAAATACACTGCGTTGATCACAGTTTTAGTTGTAGGGTGTCAGTGTCCCTGTCCCAAATCTACAGACTCCAACCTGAACGAGGGAGCTCTGGTCCATTTGTTGGGATCCTGTCTTTAGTCAAGTTCTTTACAGTTTGTACCCAAAGGTGTTTGGAATAAACCCCAGTCTTTCTCTATACCTACCAGAGTACAACTTCTGCCTCGCCTTGAAGACTATCCCAACAGAGCTCGTCTATGTGACATGCTGTGCATAGCGGCATGTGCCCTCTCAGACCTATGCATCCATCTGCTTCTCCG